CTCCTGGGTTCAGGTGATTCTTCCATCTCAGCCTCCCAGCATCTGGGATTACAGGTGTGTGCTACTGCACTTGGCTAATTTTTGTATTTTTTGGTAGAGATGGAGTTTCACCATGTTGGCCAGGCTGGTCTTGAACTCCTGACCCTCAGGTGATCCGCCTGCCTTGGCCTCCCAAAGTGCTGAGATAACAGGCACAAACCACTGCGGCCAGCCTTTCTTTTTTACTTTAAAGATGAGAGAATATGTGTTTTCTTCATTTTAATTTTACTGAAATAAAAACATTTTATTAACTGCAAACGTGGCTTAGAAAATATCACATGCACAAATGTCCTCTGTGATTAGCCTGTCACAAAGCTTGTCAAAATTAAAAAAGGCCTTTGCAACAGTCAGCCAACCGGAAGAAAAATCATACTTTACACAAGCTCATTAATGCACTGCTCTCCTTCAACTTTTCCTTTGGATATTGATGGCACACAGTTCTTATCATGAAAAGCCCTTCCTCCACCTTACAGAACTAATGTTGGCTTCCTAAATGAATGAAGAAGGCTCTTCATTCTTCTAGAGCGAACTTGCTTCCCTTTGGATAACCTCTATTTTGTTCATTCATTCATCAAACATTTATCAAGCATCTACTTGTGCTGGACACTGAGCCAGGTGCTAGAGAGGACAATGAGCAAAACTGGCAAGAGCCTGGCCTTTTTAATGAACCTAATGGCCTTGTGGTTCTCCTGGGCACACAACTTCATGCCATAAAACTACTTCTAGTTTTTCCCATTTTCAACTGGTTGGAAGCACCATTTGCTGGATTTTTATTGTATGTTTCACATTTGTCCTCTGGGTCCAATTCCACTTCTATCACCTGATCCAGGACTCACCCAGCCTACTGTAAACCTCCTCGCTTGAACATTGTTTTCTGCCCAGTGTATGTATAATACACATAACACTGTCAAATACAAAATTCCTTGAATAAAAACCCTATAATCAGTAAATTTCCATCCCACTTCAGGCATCCTGACCCTGCGCCTGCTTTTTGTCCTACAGCAGACTCCCAAGTCTTGTGATCAACAACTTCCAGCTGAAGCCCAAAATGAGCAAAGGCTTTCCAAAAAACAAACTGGTAACAGAAGGAAAGCAAGAAGGTGATAGAGAAAGAGAGGAGATCGTGTTCAGGGCCCATGGTCTCCACGACACCAGTGGGATTAGAAAAGGGCTCAAGTACTGAATGTGCAGCTGGCCCAAGGCCTTGCTGTAGGGCCCTGGGAGCGCCATGGCTTGTATGGCTCATTTGTACTTGTTAGATCATACGTTCCATCCAGGTGAGAAACACATCTGACTTTTCACTGTTATACCCCCAGCCCTGTACACAATGCCTCATATAACAAGAATTTGTAGAATCAATGAAGACTCTTCCTAACCCTGACAGTTCTGCGATCTCCTGCAATCCAACACTTGAATTATTGTAGAACAGGATGGCCTCTATCTGCCTGAACTCATGTGGATTCTCTATAAGTTAGCATAATGCCCACCTCAGGTGGGAAGTAACTCATCACCACCTTCCACTGCCCCAATGGTATCTGTTACAAAGATAAGCTGACCCTTAGAAAACTGCAGAGTTTGGAAATCGGTCCTTAGTTACAGACTATAAATTCTAGTCCCAATCAACACCAAATAACAAAGACACTTGGAGTATCAAATTCAGATTTACCCAGAACAAGGGTTCAAAAGTCTTTCAACATGAGAGGATGCTTATCTTTCTGGAAAAATGACAATGAGAAGTCCAGGTAGATAGTCTGGTCCTGCCCATGTCAAATCATCCCCTGAAGCATCAGTCTTCAAAGAAAGGATTTATGAACAGGAGTGGTAGCAGGATTTGGTGGCCCCTGAGGTTCTTCTGATCCTAGGATGTTACAAGTATCATCAATGATACCAGAAAAACTTCTGAAGAAAGCTGAGAGTAGAATTTTTCTGATCCTAATTCTTAGAATTAGGTTCCTTCAAAACTCAACTTGAAACTCACCTTTAGGAAACTGTGATGAATGCTTTATCTTTTCTCTAATGCTCAGTATAGTATTAATTTGTACTTAATGATATTCAGTTCAACAAACATCTATTAAATGCAAAATATATTTAAGCTTTGTAGGCACCAAACCTTAAACATGCAGATGCAGAGAACATGGTCACTAACTCCAGGGAGCTTAAAGATGTATGTGAAAGACAGACATACAATATTATGCAAGGTCCTTTGGGTAACAGGTATCAACTAAGTGCTCTAGTACCAAAAGAGGAGAAAACCATTAACCATTTCTGCAATAATCTGAAATTTTTTCATGTGTGAATGATTTGCTTAGGTGAGGACTGGACTTCCTTCCACATTCATTTCAGATCATCTGATACAGAACTATGCTCACAAAAAGCATTAAAAAAAAAAAACTTTTGGTCATCGGATCCAAGATGGCCGTTTAGGAACAGCTCAGGATTGCAGCTCCCAGTGAAAGCGCAGAGGGTGAGTGGACGCCGTGTTTTTATTGCCCACAGACTAGGAAATTCCCGGGC